ACCAGGTGTGGTGGCACTAGCCTGTATTTTCAGCAATCTGGAGGCTGGCCTGGAACTCGCTATATAGCTCAGGCTGGTCTCCCCCCAGTGCTCCTGTCTCACAACATGCCCAACTTCACCATACTATTTAAAATGTTCCACTTTAAAAAAAAGTTAAACTCAAGGAGTACTGAGAATTCCACTATTAATATTTAAAATCTCCTGGGTATATTAGTATATACCTGTAACCCTAGTACTTAAGAGTTCAAGGTCATGACCCAGTGTGGTGGTGCACACCTTTAATCCCAGCACTCAGGGAGGCAGAGGCAGGTGGATCTCTGTGAGTTCAAGCCAGCCTGATCTACATAGTGAGTTCCAGGCCAGCTGGGGCTACAGGGAGACCCTGTCTCAAAAAGACCAAAAAAAAGGGTTTAAGGTCATTCTCAGCATGTAAGGGAGGTCAGCCTGGTCTACATGAGACTCTGCCTCAAAAAATATCAAAAATGGTGCTGGGTAAAATGGCTCAGTATGTAAGAGTGCTTGCTCCATGACCACTTAAGGACTTGAATTTGAGTCCCCAGTACCCACATAAAAAGTCAGGTATGGCTGTGTGTAACTATAACCCCAATAGTAAGGGGGTGGAGACAGGTAGATCCTGAGAAGTTGCTGGCCAGACAGCCCAGTCAAAATGAGAGCCACTACAGTGAGAGACCACTTCTTAAGGCAGTATAGTCAAGAGCAACAAAAAGACATCCCATGCCCTGCTCTGGCCTCCACATACACACAGATGGAAGCACACACCTGCATACCTGTGCATGCATCACACACACACACGTGTACATGCACACATACCACACACAACACAGATTATACACATGCCACACATTCAACACACACAGACAACACACACACAAATCTGAAGCTCAGAAGTGGGAAGGGGGGGCTGGAGAGATGGCTCAGAGGTCAAGAGCACTGGCTGCTCTTACAGAGGACCTGGGTTCGATTCCCAGCACCCACATGGTACCTAACAACTGTCCGTAATTCTAGTTCCAGAGGATCTGACGCCCTTTTCTGACCTCCACAGCACTGCACAACACAGATGCACTTACACACATTCAGGCAGTACACTCATACACATGAAATAAAAACAGTAAATAAAATATTTTTTAAAAAAAGAAGTTGGGGGTGCTGGAGAGATGGCTCAGCGGTTAAGAACACTGGCTGTTCTTGCAGAAGACCCGGGTTTCAAATCCCAGCACCCACATGGCAGCTAACAACTGTCTGAAACTCCAGTCCCAGGGGATCCAACAGCCTCTTCTGTCCTCCACGGGCATTGCACAACATGGGTGCACTTACCTACACACAGGTAATACACGCATACACATAAAATAAAAATAATAAAATATACAAAAAAATGAGTGGGAAAGAAAAGGAAAAACAAACAAACAAACAAAAAGAAATGGGAAGGAAGTCTAGATTAGACCACCCTGTCTTTCTCTAGTTTTGATTCTCTCCCCCTGAATAACTCCAATCTACTGCCCACTCACTATCGGACTGTGTGGACAACTGGTTGTGTGTGGTCACCATGAACCAAGGAGAAGCCACTACAGTTGTGCCCAGAGTGGAGATGTCACTGTGCCCAACATCCCACACAGCCAGGTGGCTGGGCACTGAATCCCCACCACCAACCATGTGGCGGCGTACTTTCCAAAAATAGCCACGACAAATTTCTGGCTCCATCTGCCCTTCCAGAACCTTTCAGTCCCTCATCAGAAGTGGAGCCTGTGTCCTGGCTCCCCTTAACCTGAGAAGACCTCTGCAGCTCACTGGACAGATGGTCCCATGGAGGCCAGGCTGGGTGTTGTCCAAGACCACATCCAAAATGGCAATATGGCCTTCTAGCATTTTGGTGTTCAATCTCAATATCTCTCTCTCTCTCTCTCTCTCTCTCTCTCTCTCTCTCTCTCTCTCTCCCTCTCTCTCTCTCTCCCTCCCTCCCTCCCTCCCTCCCTCCCCCCTTGGAGCCTTCAGCTTTCCTATGGCATCCATGCTAGAAAGATTTATGGAGAAATGTTCGGAGACTTGACAGACAGAAGAGGGGGGAGAAAGGAGAGAGAAAGAGAGAGATCTAGCCAGTCTTCTGACATAACAGTCCAATATACTACTTGTGAGCAATGGCATAAGAGACCCTAATCCCAGAACCCTGAAGATGGGCCTTCCCCAAATTCTTGATCTATAAAAACCAGGAGAGAGGGCCAGCAAGACGGTTCAGTGGGTAAAGGCCCTTGCCATGAAGCTTGATGACTTGAGTTCTATCCCCAGTACCAGCGTGATGGAAAGAGAGAATGGACTTCTGCAAGTTGTCCTCTACCTCCACATGTGTACTGTGGGCTGTGCATGCTTCCCCCACAACACTAAATAAATAAATACATAAATATTATTTTTAAAACCCAAGAGAGAAAAGAAATGAGAGTAATTTTAAGCCACAAAATTTCAGAGCCATTTGTTACACAGCAAGTAGATAACCAATACACAACCACTATGCTCTGGACTTCCAGTATCGCCATATTAGCACCCAGTAGACACCACTCAATACAGGCTAATCAATACTGACATCTGGGGCTAAGGATGTAGCTCAGGGGCAGTGTGTTTGCTGAATGTGTGCAAGACCTGGGTTCAAATCAATTTTTTTCTGCCTCTGGCTTCAGTTCTGAGGTTGTGTGAACGAATAGGGAATTTGGGGGGCTGACTAGTTTTCAGGGCTCAGATCCATTTGGATTGGGGCTATCCCTCATTCTCTCATCATCTTCAGGCAAGGTCTCATTCTATAGCCCAGGTAGGACTTGAACTCATGATCCTCCTGCCTCAGCCTCTACAGCACTAGGATTACTGTATGGGTCTAGTGCTACCACCAAGGAACACCAAGTCATGTGGGAGGAAGAATTTTGTGGCGTCTAAGGCTTAGATCCAGGGGATGAGGCTGAGTGGACTATCTCTTGCAGCCGGTGATGTCCATCTGATTAGGTACTGGGCAATGTGGTACGACTGGAAGGGCCCCCTAAAAAATTGGGGGCTGGAGCCAGAGGTTGGTTGTAAAGTGGTTAGGGTGCATAAGGACTCGAGTTTGATCCCCAGCACCCACATAAAAAAAACTGGGCGTAGTGACACATGCTTGTAATTCCAGTGCTGGAGAGGCAGAGAGGCAAGGACCCCTGGGGCTCCCGGGCCAGTCTAGACTTACTGGTGAGCCCCATGGCCCAGAGAGAGACCCTGTCTCAAAAAACAAGGTGGGCAGCTCCTGAGGAACGACACCCAAGGTTGACCCCTGCCGTCCACAGGCATAAGCACACGCACTTGCATCCACAGCCATCCACACACATACACGTTCACAGACAAAGGCGAAGGCGTGCCTTTCCTCGTGTTTCCAACTGTAATGAAGACACAGGGCTGGAGCAGATGTAGACATCTTGGATCATCGTGTGGAAGCCACACTCTGGAGGAGCAACAAGAAGATGGGAACCATGGCCTCCAATGAACACAGAGGTGCCGCTGCAACGCCGCAAAGCCTACTGGGGATTTCCTTCCCGTGAAACACAGACCAACTAGTATTTCACAGAAGCCACTTGTAGGAGGGGTTTGGTCACAAGCTTTGGTATTCTGAGCGAACAGGAGAGTTATCTGTTGCTTTCATCAGATTCTCAAAAGGATCCTTGAACCACCACCCCTCCAAAAAAATATTAAGAGCCACAAACAAGGGCTGGAAAGCTGGCTCAGAGGTTAAGAGTGTGCCTTGTTCTTGCAGAGGACCGGAGTTCCACACCCAGCACCCATGAAGGGTGACTCACAATCACCTGTAACTCCAGCTCCAGGGAGATTCCTTTTTTTTTGGTCTTTTTGAGGCAGGGATTCCCTGTAGCCCCAGCTGGCCTGTAGACCATGTACTCTTCTTTAAAAGGACCCGAGTTCAATTCCCAGCACTCACATCAGGGGGCTTGTAACTAACTACCTGTAACTCCAGCTCCATGGAGTCTGTGAGTACTGCACTCATGAGCACAAACCCATGCACAAATATACATAACTAAAATAATAACAAAATATTTTAAAATAAATTAAATGAGGGCTGGAGAGATGGCTCAGCAGTTAAGACACTAGGTGCTCTTGCAGAGGACCCGGGTTCAGTTCCCAGCAGCCACAGAGCAGCTGACAACCATCTATAACTCCAGTTCCAAAGGATCTGACACCCTCTTCTGGCCTCCACAGCATTGCATACACGTGGTACACTTACATACATGAAGGCAAAACACTCAGACATATAAAATTTTTTAAAATTATATATATATATTATATTTATATAAAAAAAATCCACAGCTGGCCTGGAACTTTTGATATAGACCAGGCTGGCCTCAATCTCACAGACATCTGCCTGCCTCTGCCTCCCAAGTGCTGGGATTAAAGGTGTGCACCGCTATACCTGGCTCAATAAAAAAAGTATCTTAAAAAAAAAATCAAATGTCGGGGCTGGAGAGAGGCCTCATCAGTTAAGTGCACTGGCTGTTCTTGCAGAGGACCTGCTTTTGATTCCCAGCATCCACATGGTGTCTAGCAACCATCTATAACCTCACTTCCAGGGGACTCCAACGCCCTCTTCTGACTTCTTCAGGCATAACACCCATAGATGTAAAATAAAAATACATAAAAAATAAATAAATAAAATGAATAAATAATAAATAAAATGTAATGAATGACTTTTTAAAATGGCGTTGTGTGTACCTTCCGGACGTTCATTACTGCATGCACGTGAAGAATGCTGATGAGTGGGAGCACCGTAACTGTGTTGACCTTAATATTTGATCTCCCACCTCAGCATCTTCAACGCTGTCACCTCCTTTTCTACACAGAAGAGCACAGAGTGGCCTGGGACCTACCCGGGGCCTCACAGTTTGCCCCAACCCCCTCACAGCCTGCCCTGACTTCAGGATGTGCAAAGTGCAAGAGAGAGCTGCTGGCCTGGAGGTACTCACCGAGTCCTTGAGTGCCAGGAAGCAGTGGCAGATCCAGCGACGGGTGGTGCCGTCTCGGCAGATGTAGGAGAAAGCCTTGTCCAGGTTGCGGTCAGGAGCACAAAAAGAGACCTTTTCAATGGTCTGGTCTACCAGTAGGTCCTAGGAGGGGTTGGGGAAGTGGGCAGCGTGAACCATCACACCTGCGTTCATGACAAGATCTGGTCCTGAACAGGGTGTGGACTCAGTTGTCATGGAGACAGCCATGGGCCAGTGTGCCCTGGGATTGGGATTCAGAGCTACCGTGAGATGGAAACAGACTAGAGGCACAGTCAGGCTGTAAGAAGGCTGAAGAGCCTGCAGGAGCCATGAAGGAGTGCTTGACCCAGCCTCGAGCAAAGCTTTCTGGAGGAGGAATTAACTAAGCAAGAAGATAGGGAACAGTATTCAGATGTGGGAACCACCTCTGCACGGGTGGAAAAACTATTCAGCCATCAGTTCAACCATCATAGCATGTACCGAGCACTTCCAGGGAGGGTCCTTTGGGCTAGAGAAAGGGAAGCCAAAGGGAGCAAAAAGATAACCAGAGCCTGGAGTTGGGCGATAGCTCTTTGCCTAGCATACATAAGGCCCTGGGTTCAATCTCTTATACTGCATCACCCCCCACCAAAAGACCCAGGCCCAGGGCCTGGCCCCCCAGTGATCTTATCTAGCTGGAGAGACTGATAATAAACACATAACAAGGCTGGGGATGTAGTTCAGGTGGACAGCGCTTGTCTAACACACAGGAAACCCTAGGTTCCATGTTGGCACCACATAAACCAGGCATGGTGACGCATGCCTGCAATCCCAGCACTTGGGAGTGGAGGCAAAAGGATGAGAAGTTTGAGGTCATCCCTGACTAAATAGCAAGATCAAGGCCAGCCTGGGCTACCTGAAACCATGTCTCAATAAAAACAAAAACATGTAACAGCTCATATTTATCAATATAAGAACTTTGAGCTGGGCATGGTGGTGCACAACACTCCAGAGGCACAGGCAGGCGGATCTCTGTGGGTTCGAGGTCAGCCTGGTCAGTTCCAGGCCAGCTGGGGCTACAGGGAGACCCTGTGGCAAAAAGATGAAAAAGAAAACAAAAAAAGGACTTTGATGCCAAACTTCTTTTTGTTTGTTAACATGTAGCTCAGGCTAGCCTGGAATTTGCAATCCTCCTGCCTCAGCTTGGCATTGGGATCCTGGGTATGTGTTACCACACCCCAGCTCCAGGCAGCTTTTTTCTTTTCTTTTTCCATTTTTCATATGTGTGTGTATTCCCACGTATGTGGGCACACATGTCACATATCGTACATGCATGTAGAGGCCTGAGGTTGATGCTGGGAATCATCTTTAATCACTCTTCTACCTTATTCTTTGAGACAGAGTCTCTTAATCAAACCCAGAGCTTACCGATATGCCAGACATGCTAGCTCTGGAGATCCCCACAGCTAGAACTACAGGTGGGCCACCATGACCACCCCACAGTTATGTGGGTTTGTGGGGATCTGCACTCAGGACCTCATGTTTGCACTTTAACTACCGAGCCATCTCCTCAGCCTCATTTTGAAAAGTTTGTGCACATTATACATTCTGACTTAATGGTGGGGTCTATTACCAGCCCTATTTTTTTTTTAGATGAGGTAACGGGGACCTAGAGGGGTTAAGTCTCATGTCCGGGTTTCCCCAGCTGGTGAGGGGATGGCTGAGATCGGTGCTGAGGCAGCTGCTCCAGTCCGTGCACTCACCCACTCTCTAAACCAGCTTGCGAATAACCACGGCCCTCATTCCTGAGTTAGGACTGTACACCCAGCCAAGCCTCTGCAGGAACACATGGCACAGTCTAGAAAGGCCTCCCTGGGGGTGGGAGGGAGGCACCCCATGGCGGGTGGGAAGGCTTTCTCCACCTGGACACACACACGCTCCTACCTTGGTCTTGTCATCCACTACTCGGAGTCCATCAGCTGACACCCACAGGACAGATTTCACGGACTTCCGGCCCATCTGGGGTGGGAGCAGGGAACAGAGGGGCCTGGTCAGGACCACCTCTTCACTTCAGTCTGCTCTTTCACCCTCCCTGGCTCCAGCCCCTCACTCACCGCCTTCAGCTTCTTCACAGCGTCTTCACACACGTGCATCCCCCGAGACTCCTCCACTTCCACATGGCCCAGGTACTTGGGTGGGAGGATGAGGGGACAGGAAATAAGCACACCTATCAATCACTCCCAGTGTTACCCAGCACCCCCATACTTGGGGGCCACAATTCTTAGCCCCACATCAGGTGCATTCATTCATTCACTGCACCTCTAATCCGCAAGGTAGGAACCCCATTCCTAGCTCAGGCAGACGGCTGAGGAAACAGAAGTGCAGTGGATCTCAGAAATTTATGGCCATGTCCTGTCTCCGTACCTGGGCCTTCACAATCACTGTTGGCCTTCTGAGGGTCAGCATATGCTTCCGTGTGCCTGAGGACTAGCTGCAGGCCTCAGGGCTGCTCTACCCACTGACAGCAGTGAGAAAGAGCATGCGTCAGGGCTGGAGATGTTACTCAGTGGTGGACTGCTTATCTCACATGCACAAGGCTCAAAGTTTAATCTCTAATGTGCACACTGGAACACACACACACACACACACACGCACACACACACACACAGAACCCCTGATTAGTGCATAGACTCCTCCCTGTAATGACTAACGGAAGTTGGAGTTCCCTGCAGGTAAGATGAGTCTTCACAAAGTTTCCAGTGGGACTAAGCTCCATTGCCCAGAACTGCAATTTTAAGTTTTTTGTCGTGTCCAAGCCCCACCCCCATTTTATAGAGTTCTGCATATGCTGGAAAAATGTTCTTAGCACTGAGCCACACCCCAGCCCCTCATCAGGGGATTCTAGGCAGGTGCTCTACCTCTGAGCCACACCCCCAGTCCTGCTGTGCAAAGGCTAAGACTCTTCATTTAACAGATACCTCTTATTGGTTGACTCCCTTCTTTACTTTTACCAGTGTTTTCTGTGCCTGCCACATGGACCCCTCACAAAGAAGGGAAAATCAGGTCAAGGTGCTGGCCTTGGTCTCATAAACATGAAGGGCTGAGTTCCACAGGCTCAGGCCCAGAAGCCGGTTGTCTCCCCAGCAAAAGTGAAGAGTATGTTGTAAACCAGAATGCCCATAACAGTAAAAGGCCTTTGAAAATGCTACCAAATTTTTGTGACTTTCTAATGAAGGTTTTCTATGAGCCCCTGAAGCACGGAGCAACAACTCCCCCCACTCTGGATATCCCCAGGTAATATTTTTCTGGTACAAACAGAATGCATACAGGTGCTGGTGGTGCAGGCTGAGGCAGGAGGATCTTCAGTTCAAGGCCTGCCTGGACTACAGTGAGCTCAAATCCACCTGGGGCACCTTAGTGAGACAGTGCCTCAAAATAAAATGTAAAAGGAGGGCTGGGGGTGCAGCTCAGTGTTGGAGTGCTTGTCCTGAATGCAGGGTTCCAGGTTCAACTCTCTGTACCACAAAAGTGGGTGTGTGGGAGACCATGTTCTTGAAATGCAGGCATATGCTATCATGCCAGATGTGTTTTAGTATCAACCCAGAAGGACCTAAGGTCACAGCACATAGCTTATAGCATGCAGCCCCACGGCACACAGCTCACAGTACAGTCCTTTAGCAATTTTTACCCAGTGCCCAGGACCAGCAGGCACACAGCAGTCACAAAATAGGTAGTCAGGACCACCATGTCTACTCACCCTGACAGGGAAGCTGCAGGTGCCCTTGCGCACTGCATCCTCATCTGCCTGCCACTGGTGTGGACGCGATGCCTCAGGCACATAGGCTGGCTTCCTCCGCCGAAGACTCTGCCGTAACTTGTTCATTGTGCCCGCCCCGTCTAGTGACACAGGAAAGGGGTATGGATCAAAGGAAGAAGTCAGAAGGTATGGGAATGGGGTTACAGCATTAAGCCATCACTAGATGAGATGCCATGGGATGGGCAGCTCTAGTCAGTGGATATGAGTTGTGCAGAGGTGTGCCAGAGCTGTGAAACAGGGATTCCAAAGGATAGGGCATGGGGCAGGAGAGATGGCTCAGCAGTCAAGAGCACTGATTTCTCCTGCAGAGGGCCCAGGTTCTGTTCCCACATGGCGGCTCTCAACCTCCTGTAACTCCAGCTTTAGGGGATCTAAAGTCCTCTTCTGGCCTCTATAGGCATTGCGCACACAGGTGCATTTATATACATGCAGGCCAAACACTCATATACAAAGAATAAAGATAAATTAATTAAAAATTAGGGGCTGGAGAGATGGCTCAGCGGTTAAGAACACTGATTGTTCTTGCAGAAGACCCGGGTTTGAATCCCAGCACCCACATGGCAACTAACAACTGTAACTCCAGTTCCAGGGGATCCGACAGCCATTTTTGTTCTCTGAGGGCACTGCACAGCACGGGTGCACTTACCTACATGCAGGCAATATACGCATACACATAAATTTTTTAAAAAATTAAAAAGATGGGGCAAGGAGCATGGGGGTCTGCAGTGGGGATCATGGGTCATGGCTTCAGGGGTTGAGGGTGTGACTAACAAGAACCACAAAGATTCAAACAATGAGAAGTCAAGAGTCAAGGCACTGGAGGGCACTGGGGTTTGAGGGCATAAGGGTCAGGGGTCACTATGTCAAGGGCTTTAAGGGATGAGGGTCAGGGAAGCAGGTGATCGGAGGGTATGTGGATGCAGCTCAGTGGCAGGATGCTTGCCTAGCATGCAGGCCACAGATTCAATTCCGAGTACCAGAGGGAGTGAGAGAACATGAACATGTAATATGTATGGGTCTCTGACAACTGTGTCTAGATGAAGCAGGGCCCCTGGGGTAGTGTGTACTTGTGATGGTCAAAGGTTGTGTGTGTGCATGCACATGATTTGAGAGAAAGAAATGGAGAGAGAGGTGGTCAGCCACTAGGATATTCTTTATTGACTGTGTCATCCTGACTGTCCCAGGCGGGTAAGGGGACACCCAGGACCAGGAACACAGGAGGAGGTGGGGACTCTGTGTATGTAGGGAATCTATCTCATCCAGTCTCTATCTGTGCATGTATATTTCTGAAAGCTGTATGGAAGGCAGTTGTGGGGGCTCAGCAGGTAAAAGTGCTTCCCACACAAGCCTGATGACCTGGGTTCGAACCCTGGAGCCCATGATGGAAGGAGAAAACTGCCTCCTGAAAGTTGTCCTCTGACTTCCACTTGTGCACTATGGCACATGCATACACTCACACTCGTATATACAATAATAATAAAGAAATAAAGGCTGTATGGAAAAATCCTTATGTAAACAGTTGTTCAAGATGGTATGTCGGTGAATGTTGTGAGGGACTCTGTGACTCGAAGCCTGCTTGTTATCTTTAAGGTTCGTCTCTGAAGGTTTTTGCTGAAGGGCATGCATGTCTGGGTGACCGTGTGTGCACTGATGCATGCTCTCTATTTCTTGGTGCATAGCTGTTGTTTATGAGACTTTGTATTTCAGTGCATGTTGCTTGAGATAGAATGTTGGCTCTGAAGGGCTATAGCCACGACTGCTTTCCATAAGGCTGTGTTAGGTCAGTGTATGACTACTACTGTCCTTTAGGACTGTTGCCTCTGAGAGTGTGAGTCTATAACGGTTATCCATAAGAGTTTGCCTGTGTCCAAAAGAGCAGCTGTCGTTGAGGCTATAGCAAGGTGGCTGCTGTTTGAGGACGTGTTGGTGGTGGTACATGCCTTTAATTCCAGCACTTGGGAGTCAGAGGCAGGCAGATCTCTGTGACGTTGAGGTCAGCCTGGTCTACATAGCCAGTTCCAGGCCAGCCAGAGCTTCATAGTGACATAGGCCCTGCCTTAAAAATATCAAAAGGAGTGTTCTAAGGGTATGTGTAATGTATGTTGTTTTGGTAAATTGTCATGTGCTGTTTAAGCTTGTAGAAAACAATCTGAAACCGACCAGGCCCTCCCTTGTTTCCTCTAAAACTCCCTGGCCTGGTGCAGGCTGGCCCCTCAGTCTGTAACAAGGAGAAAGGAAAAACAGCAAACAGCTAAGGGTCTTGAAAACACTGTGCTCTTGAGAACAGCTAGAAGGTAAGCTGTTTTCAACCAGGTTTACTATGGTTTATCCCATGATATAAAAATGTCTGCAGCGAGAAAGAGAAGCCAGAAGCTCGTGTAGAGAGAAAGGATGGGGAGGGTTCTGCACACAGGATTCTGTCCATCGTGACCTCCAGTGTGGCTGATTGGCCGTTTCCCCATCCACTTCTGCTGGACGACTGTAAGAGCCCAATTTGATGATGTTATCTGTCTGTTGCTGTTTGTTCTTTTCCTTGGAGGCCTCACCCAAGGGGACACTCTGCCTGGGACTCTTTTTTAATTAATTGTTTATGTATTTTTATTTTGTATGTGAGTGTTCTGCCTGCATGTATGTAAGTGCACCCTGTGTGTGCAGTGCTCACAGAGAAGCAAGAAAAGAGTGTCTGATCCCTTGAAAATGGAGTTATGGGTGGATGTTAGCTGCCATGTGGGTGCTTGGAATTGAACCCAGGTCCTCTTCCAGAGCAGCCAATGCTCTTAACCACTGAGTCATCTCTCCGGTTTCTGCCCAGGACTCTTGATCAGAAACTTCATGTTTTGCTCTCTCTCAACTGGGCTACTCCAATTGTATCTGCTGGGCGGTGTGAGAGCCTGATTCGATGATATTTTGCATCTATCTGCCATTTGCTATTTATTGTTTTACTTCTTGCTTGCTAAAACCCGAAAAAGTAAGGTTATCATAGATCATTCTCCAGACTGTACAGAACAGCATGTTTGTCATGCAATGATATATCTGTGAGGATGTATGGAGGTCGTAGTCTTTGAGCTTGTGTTCACAGGTGTTATTTCTGAGCGATTGCTGTCTATGACGGCGCTGAATATTATTTGTGAAACTGCATGCCAAAGTCTAGCTATTTTTGAGTGCTGGGTTCACAGGTGCTGTTTATGAGGCAGTGTCTGTCTACAAAAGTATAGCTGTTAGGCCAGGTGTGATGACGCACACCTTTGATCCCAACACTTGGTAGGGAGAGGCAGGTGGATCTTTGTGAGTTTGAGGCAAACCTAGTCTACACAGTGAGTTCAGGCCAGCTAGGGCTACAGAGAGACCCTGTCTCAAAATCACTTTAAAAAGTATAGCTGTTAGGACTGAGGATGTAGCTCAGCTGGTAGAGTGTTTGCCTGGCATGCACAAAGCCTAGTGTTCCATCTCCACACCACATAAATGGCGTGGTGACATGTGCCCGTAAGCCCCAGTACTCAAGACCCTTGGCTACATAGTGAGTTTGAAGCCAGCCTGGGCTACAGCAGAGCTTCTCCCCCCCCCCCAAAAAAAAGTATAGCTGCTATCTGTAAAAATGTGAGTCTACATGTGGTATGGGAGAATGTCAGTGTGTGTATTTGTTATTTGTTTTTCTTTTCTTTTTTACAGGGTCTCACCATGTAGCCTTGGCTGACCTGGAACTTGCTATGTAGACCAGACTTGCAGAGATCCATCTGCCTTCACCTTTCAAGTATTGGGATGACAGATGTGTGCCACATCTTGTGTTTTTTGAGATGGGTCTCATGTAGCCCACGCTGGGCTCGAGCTTGCTATTAGCTGAAGCTGGCCTTGAAATCCTGATCCTCCTGCTTCAGTCTCCCAAGTGCTGGGATTACAGGTGTGCACCGTCACATCTAGTGGCTGTGTACTCTTGAGCACGTATCTAAGGATATACATCTGGGGAGCACCTGTGGTTGTCTGTGTGGGTCTGGAAGTTGTGTATGGATGTGTGCACAGAACTATCCATGTGACTACCCAAGTGTATCTGTGTGTTGCTGTGAATAAATAGCTACTCGGCACATCTGTAAGTGTGCCTGTCACTGCATTTTGACAAGGGTGTGGAGCTCACCATCTGTGCATGTGTGTCTAACTGTAAATCTATGGATGTGTGAGAGTCTGAGTGTATCTGCAAGGGGGTGACCCTGTACACAATAACTGTGAGGCTGCTGGTGTTGAGTACATGACATAGTTCAGGATATGTCTGTGAATGGGGGCCTTCAAAGGTCACTGAGTGTGCAATGAAGCTTGTGTGACTGTGGTAACAGCTCCTCTGATCATGCTAGTCATGAATGACCACGAGCCATGTACCACCCAGCTGTATCCTTTGCCAAGACAGTCACTCACCTGACTCCGTCCTGAAGGTTTCTGGGGGCCCCAAAGCCCCACAGGGGGCTGGGGGCAAACACTGCTCAGGCCTCCTGGGTCCGCCCTGCTCAAGGGAGTGTGAAAAGGTGAGAAGTTTGTTTGGGATGGGGTTCAGTCTCCCCTACTCACACACATACCCCCTTTGGACTTCTGCCAACCCCCTCCATCTCAGACACCCTGGTGAGAACCCTTGTAGTCATAGCAACCGTTACCAGGGAGACCAGCCACCTGGCTCTAAGGGCCCAGAAAGGAGTAGGTGTGTTGGGGGGCATTGGTGGGGCCCTGAATACTCAAGGGGATGAAGTGAGGAAAATTTGCCCTCTGTTGGCAATTCCAGAACTACACACAAACATATAGCCAGCCACACACACCCAGACAACTGCTGTCCTTAGCAACTGGTCACAGTTCATCATGCTTAGTTACACATGGACATCATCATACTATGTACCTTAGAGATACACAGAAAGTCATAGCCATGGACAGCTGCACACTAAATATCTGTTCACATGTTTATGTTTGCAGGCACACACAGCTCTACTACAGACATCTGTCCACATGCATGTGGCATGTCCCAGCTATCACGACACTTGGTCACATCAGCAATTGATACTGTTCTCTCTCATTTTCTTCACTAAGTACAGAAAGTCGGGCCTGACACACCCACAAGGGTGACACATGTCCAACCACACCCCAAGACAGTTGTGTCTCTTCAGGCAGCCACCCCAGGGAGAAGCATTCCCAGAGTGGTCACCCATAAGCACCTGGTCACAGATGACACAATGACATCTGCACACCCTTGTCATAGCTGTTTCCACTGCTACACTCTGATAGCTGGATGAACATGGACTAACTGAGGCACATTTGATCTCACAATGTCCCATCCCACTCACACATGGTCACACACAGCCATAGCTGCACAAGGCCATACAATCTCACACATATCAGTTATACTAACACCTTTTTTTGGTTACATACTTTCACAGACTCTCACTTCCTTAGCCGCAGATACTGATGTTTTGTCATAGTACCCATTATATACTCCTCTGTTATATGATGGTCCTCTATATACATCATGGATACTGATGGCCACAGTCCCGGCATTAAAGAGAGACAGGCATCTATACAGAGACATGGCATACAATCAGCCAGAGACAAATATCCCCAAGAACAGCTACTCTGACAATCACAGACATTCCAGAAATGGTCGTGCATGTAGTCAGACACAGTACCAGTATCCATGGTACCCAGCCATCTGTCATGGTCAGCGTCCCATACACAGCTGCACCATGCTACCTCATCACAGAGAACGTGTCTGTTCAATCAGACTCAAATCACATAGACATGTATGTGTGGCCACATCTAATCAAAGTCCCACATGGACAGATGCACAAAGTCACAGTTCCACCTATACTCACAAAATCTCACACACAGAAACATAAGCACATAGTTCAGTTTCTCCTGTCACAAGTACACTGTTGGGTATACAAAGAAATGGAGTGACCAGTGTTTGTTTATAGCTGGCCTTATACAGAAAGCCTGGTCCCAGACACAGCAGTTGGGTATACAAAGAAATGGAGTGACCTAGACACAGTGTTTGTTTATAGCTGGCCTTATACAGAAAGCCTGGTCCCAGACACAGCCATGTGTATAGTCAGTTACCACATCACCAAATCACACAGACTCAAGTACAGGCAGCCCAACACACACACACACACACAAACACACACACACACACACATACACTTTTGGTCTAGGACACCATCACAGACTCACACAGCGTCACACACAAATGGGTTAGACACATAGGTATAGAAACTGGTTACACACATACCCCCAACACAGAGACAACAGTTTGAGTCACACACAATTAATTTTTCATGATAGTTACAGGCAAATCAAGTTTACAATCCAAATCATACATATGAAGATGTAGTACACACTCACTGTCACATAGCCAGGCAGAGTCTTTTATATACTCCCAGCCACACACACACACACACGGCTAAAAACATATAGCACACTGCCATCCCACAACCCAGTCACAGAGGCACTTCAGCTACAACGGCAGTCACACACCCAGAGTTGCACAGAATGTAGTATGTGTATAAAATTTGTTAGACATAAGCACAACATTGTGTCACACATGGCTAGAGTCACAGTCACAACTCCACCCACATCTTCAATCAGCCACACATGTCCAAACCCAGGCCCAACATAGGTGCTGTCACATACCAAGACACAAATACAGGGTCACAAAAGACATAACCACAGAACCACACAATCACAATCATGCATCCACCTAAACACAGACTAAAAAGTAAAGGGTTCTTCACAGTGAGGAGCTGCCATTTACACACACACACAGAGTCACACAAACACTGAGGTCACATACTACCACCACCATAGACACCACCACATCCAACCACAAGCATGCAGACATACATCGCAGGATTCTTTATGGTCCCTAGCTGCTACGAAAACACACACAGCTACGGTCACACAAGCATAGGGTCACACTCCTAGCCACCTCTCCCCAAACCTTACACACACCCCAGATACCACACACAAAGCTGCTGGCCAGCACAGATGCTGCAGACAGGTTTGCACCGGGTCCCAGGGGAGCCGCCCCAGACCAGCCAGAATCCTGGAGTCTGGGGGGCTAGGTCTGGCAAAGGAAGGCTTAGCATTGTCTCCGGGTGGGGCCTCTCTTGGACAGCTGGGCAGCCCTAGGGACAAAGGGGATGGCCTAGGAGACCTCTGTCTTGAGACCCCTGACTAAGCATGGGGTGGGGGTGGGGGAATGTCTGAAATTCTCCTTATTCAAGCTGGGGTGGAGTCCCAGGCAAGGGACCTTATTTTGAGAAAAGGATTTCCATGGGACACCGCCCAAGGGCTGGGGGACAGGCTGAGTCCAGGACCCCTCTGAGGCCTCGGGGTAGAGAGTGCTTGAAGTGCCCCCCTCCCCCAGGGCCTTGGCCTTGGAAGCAGTATCCAGGAACGTCATCCTCAAGACCTATCCTAGGGGGCTGTTGTGTTCAGAACCCTCTGGCAGAGAAGAGTACGGATTGTGTCTAGAATCGAATCAGTTCAGTAAGGCCCTGGCTTGATAAAGGGAGCTGTGTCCTGGACCCTGAACGCCAAACCTTGCCCACAGAGTTGTACCTGGAATCTACGTAGCCTTCTCCCTGATTTTTTTTTTTTGCGGGGGGGGGGGAATCTGTGTTCCAGGGTTCCTATTTCCAGGGCCGTCACAAGAGATGGCCAGAGCCAAGACCCCAGTCTGGCAGGCTTTGGTTTGGTGGGAGCCTGCTCCTAGACCCCCACCCAGGACCACCCTCTCCAGCCTTGGCATCTTCTCTCCATCCGGGAGCTGCCGCCGCCTCCCACCCTCCGCCACATCAGCAGCGGCGCCGCCCCCGACCCGAGCCCCCTCGCCCGCCCTTCTCACGCTGGCCGCTGCGCTGCGGGACATCCAGGGCCCGGGCGCCCCCGCCTCCCGCGGCCCCGGCTGGGCCCGGCTTCCGAGCGCTGCT